AAGCGGAGAAGGGTAAAGGGGTGGAGGAGGAGAAGCGCTGGTCCGACCACGAGCCCGAGGATGACATTCTCCCCGAATTCCCACTCTTTGAGGACGACACTACCGCCAAGAGCACGTCTACATCGTCTATCCAATAATGATCAAGCACACCATCACCAGCTGGAACGTGAGGAGGTGCATGGGGATCCCGGAAAAGCGACGCAACATTTACACCTATTTATCAACATTCAAAGCATCCGCCATTCTACTACAAGAACACTTCATCAAACCGGAACTCTGGCAATGTATCAAGGACGAGTACGAGGGCAAGGTCTTCATCAGCAAACACTGTCTGACTCTGATCCCCGCCGACTCGCCCCTGATCGACGCCGAGATTTTGCGCACCCACTCGGCACTCGACGGACGAATCCTGGTCACCTCCTTTCGACTTCGAGGCGACATCCGGATACTCGAGATCAACAACATTTACGCACCAGTCGATACAAAACAACGACTCACATTCTTTGACAAACTACATTTCCACAGGACGCAGAGCACCCACCTTCGACTCCTCGGCGGCGATCTCAACGACTGCCCGCTGCCGGCGATCGATCGGCGGAACCAAGGTCGGCACGGCCATCACTGGCCGATCCTGATCGGCAAGCTCCGACTCGCCCTACACCGACTGCATACGATTCAAACACCCGCTCACACCATCTTTCACTCGACCCAACATCGTCCGCAAGCGACCAAAGTCCTTTTCACGACTTGACTACTTCCTTCTGCAGCGCACCCACCAAAAGCGACTCGTCCAAGCCTCGACGATCTACGACCACCCCAAGGACCTTTCGGATCACCGACCGGTCTCGATCGTCCTAGTTCTCTCGGATGAGCGAGGAGACGCGGCTCAACCCAACAACAGTTTACCAACGACATCAAACCAATTACATCGTATCAACGCGGCGACCTTCAAGACGGCGGAGTTCCAGGGGATGTTGGAAGGATGGTTGGAAGGAGCGAGTGGGGAGGAACCGGTGGGGGAGCTCGAGGTGGTGCTGGGAACTGCGCGAAGGAGGGTCGGGAGCTGGCGAGGAGGGAGCATCGGGAGCGGGTGGAGCGGATGGCGGTCTTGGTGGGAAGGGTGCAGGATCTGGAGGCGTTGCCGGTGATGGGGGACGAGGAGACGGCCGAATGGACGCGGACGACGGAGGAACTTAGGCGAGCGGTCAACGAGCGCGCGCGCCAACTTCGGATCCGAGCCCACGTACCCGAAATCGCTACCGAGGAACGACTGTCGCGGCCGGTCCACGCCAAGCTCGCGGCACGGAGTTCGGATTCCAAGATCACAGCACTGCGATTGCCCAACGGAGAGCTGACACATGACATTGACGTCGCGCTTGACCACACACAGGCGCACTTTCCAGCGCCTCTACGATCTCGAGCCGCGCGATCGGGACCACGTCGAGCGACTTAGGGACGATTCTTGGCGCCGATCAGGTCGGCGCGCACTTGCGATGACCGAGCTCGGACCCGCTCTTCTGCGACGACTCTCGGAAGCGCACATCGAGCTGCTGCAGCAACCCATCACCGAGGACGAGGTCGTAGCCGCAATCGCAACAAACACACCCCGGTCGATCGCCGGGTCCATTCTGGCGTGCCCTACGAGCTCTATCACACCAGCGCCGCGGGCGTGGGCCAAGGCGCTGAGCAGGGGCCTTCAACGCGATGACCGAGCGCGGCTCGCTTTCACCGAAGCAGGGGCAAGGACTCGCTCGCCTGCTCTTCAAGCACCACAAGATCGGGGCCGATCGCGCCGAGCTCTCGTCGTACCGGCCCATCACCTTGCGCGAGTGCGACTACAAGCTCTTCACAAGGTCTACGTTGCGCGACTCAACCACGTGCTGCCGGACCTGCTCCCACCGCAACAGCACGGCTTCGTCAAGGGCCGCCGATCGGCGGACGCGTCATTCCACCTGCGACTCTTGATCGAGGAGCTGGGCGGCGCCGGCACCGAGTTCCCTGACGCGGCGCTCTTGTCTCTTGACCAATCGTCGGCTTACGACCTCGTCGAGCACGAATGGATCTTCGCCATCTTCGACGCTCTCGGCGCTCCTGCCGCCTTCCAACGCGTTCTGAGGATGCTCTACTCGGGTGACTCAACCACGGCGCGATATATCATCAACGGCTTCTTGACTCCGCCGGTGCGGCTGACGTGTGGGCTCGGCCAAGGGGACCCGGCGTCGTCGTCGGTCTGGGATGTCGTGTTCCAGCCGTTCCTGGATGCTCTGCACCGTCGAGGCATCGCGCTGAACCTCTCGCTTCCTACCATTCACCCCTACCCACAGAGCCGCGCCATTACATCCCTTGCGTTTGCCGATGACGTCGTCGTCGCCGTCGCGGGCTCGGAGTCACTCAACTTGCTCGACGACCTGGCGCTCGACTGGAGGCTCGCAACCAATGGCCGGCTCAACACCGACAAGACCGTCGTACTACCCATCGGTGTCGCTGGGAGGCTGGCGATCGTCCGCTCGTCGTCAAGGCCGAGGGCGAGTCGCTCGAGTGGATCGGCCTATCTTTCGACCCCACCGGCAACACCGAACTCGCCAACGTGAAATCTCGTCGCACGGCTCGAAGCGGTGCTCGATTCGGCACGGGACCGAGGGCTCACACACCACACCGAGCGTTCTACGTCAACCGATACGCCATTCCCAAGATTCTGCACATCCTCTCCGCCGACATCCCACCGCTCGAGGTCGTCAAGGAGCTTGATCGCATTCTCGCCGACTTTGTCCGCGGCGGCAAGAGGAGGTCGTGCTATGGCAAGGACGTCGTCTTCACACCGAGGTTCAAGGGGGTCTTGGGGTCATGCGGATGCAGGACGTCGTCGACTCGGTTGCGGCACGCGTCTGGGACGTGCTTCTTGGCGGTTCGGATGCGATCTGGCAGGGACTTGCGCGCGCGGCGATTGTACGAGCCCATCCCGCCCCCGACTTTGACTTGGCAACCGATGCGTGGCCTTGCGACTACACTCCGATCCGAACCGATCTACACCCAAGATGGCAGGCCGTGCTGAAGGTACCATCGACGCACAATGCGCAAGTCAAGCCGAGGACGTTGACGCTCGCGAACCTTCTCGCTCTTCCGATCAAGTTGCACACCCTTCACTACCTACCGGGAGCACAGCTGTGTCGCGACCACCCTACGACGCCGACTATGCTGCGTTTGCCATTTACGCCAAGGTAGCGGACCTGTTTCGACGCGAGCTGTACCCGGGCGGGGGCTTTCATCTCTGGACGCCGCCGACGGATGTGGTCGTCAGCAACAGCGAATACGATCAACGGGGCCGCCCACAACGAGAGCACATCGTGGCATGGTACCGACATGCGATCAATCGATTGAGGTTCACACCAATAGCTCAACCGGTGGCGGCAGTACGAATCAACGGGCCTCCCCGAGTCCGCCCCACCACGCCGCTCGAGTCGATCCTGCCCCATCCGATCGACCCGCCGCAGCGCCTTCCGAGACCGGCTCTCCCAGACCAATCAACACAATACAACTTGCTCAGCATGGATCGGCCATACACCATCCGTCGCGTCCGCCGAGTCTTGAATGCAAAGGCCTTCACCGACACGATCGGTTTCAGGGACTCGCTGCAGCCCGACGATCTCAAGGGATTCTGGAAGGGGGTCAACTCGAAGGCATTGACGGCGAGGGAACGCGAGGTGTGGTTCAAGCTCGTCAGGAACTTCACCCCGACTCGGAGTCTGCAGTTTCATCAAAAGCACGACGACTCGCCCGCGTGCCTCGTCTGTGGAGCGCCCAAGGACGATCGGGAGCACTACTTCTTCGACTGCGTTGACTCTAGGAACGTTTGGATCGCGGCAAGGGGCGTGCTCTGCGACGCACTGGGGCTCGACACGATCGACAACACGCATTACACGGCCGTTCAACGCATGTTCGGACTTCCGAAGCTCAAGGCCAGTCTGCGCGATCAAGAAGGAGCGGGGAGGACGATCGAAATATTCACCGGGCTGGTCTTGGAGATGATCAGCAGCGGGAGGTGGGGGATGCAGAAGTGGGGGACGAGGATGGAGGGTGTTGGGAGGAGGAGGATAATCTTGGAGGAGAGGTTGAAGCTGAGGGCGGGAGGAGCTTGGGGGAGGAGAAGGCAGTAGAGGCTGGGTTCGACTTTCCCCCACCACCACACACACACCAAATTCTCGTGACATCATTTTCTCCTACTGTACACTAATAGCTCGCTTTCCTCTTTCTTTTGTTACAGGTTCACCGTTGCGGATCATGGACCATCTCGCGATTTGGCGTCGACTCGGTGTGGCTCGCGCTCTTCGGCTTCGGGGTTCTGAGTCAAGGGAGGGATCAGCGGACACAGGCAGAAAGTCGGCTTTGAGGGGCCAGGGACTGCCGAGGGGGAGGTTTTGAGGGACCTTCACCGCGTCTTGTTGTGACTGAGCAGAGACTTGGAGCGTCGAGGGTCGTGGTGGTTGCGCAGTCGTGCTCTTGTCTTCGTCTCGACCGAGTGGGAAGTGGCTGTGGGGTGGGCCTTCTGTCGTTAGTACATTTCTTTCTTTTCTTTCTCTTTCTCTTTCTCTTCATCTCTCTTTCTCTCTCTCATTCGTCTCCTGGGGGGGAGCAACCGCTTGGCTAGGGCATTTGAATCCGAATCTCGGATTGGTGGACTTGGCTCGTTTCTCGCACTTTTGCGGGCGGTTTGTGTTATCATCGTAGTCTTCCATCTAGTTTTTCCGTAGGCCGAAACAGGGGGAACAGGAATTGGGGGCAATATGATGAACGTTTTCTACAAAAAAAAATATCATTGACGGTGTATCGACCAAGAATCAATCTTACGCCTTTTACTTAAAATTGCCGTGTTGATGCACTCCAACCTTTAGTCCAATCTTTCTTCTCATTCACTTCACTTCACTTCACTTCACTTCACTTCACTTCACAATCGCCCTACTGCAGCCTTCGATACTCGAGTTAACAAGTGATACACCGACAAGATGTCTACCGGAGACCCTGGGTCCCCACTGCCGGCACCGCCACCACCGGTATCCGCCGCCAGCGTCCAGCCCCCCCGCGACCCGGATCCCGATAAGCTCGAAGAAGACGCAAGTCACGGGCCCCGCCACCGCCGCACCCAACTATGCTGCCGCTGCGAGTCAGATGGCGGCTCAAACACCTGAACAACAGCAACAACAACAACAGCGTGCCAAGGCTCTGGGCAGCCTCCTACAAGCCATGGGTGCTGTACCCGGAAACCGTATGGATCGCTGGGTCCAGGCCATCTACTTCGCCGAACTCTACCCCGTCGCCACCGCCACATCGCTGAAATTTTCGGCCTTGAACGCGAACCGGTCCGTCGAGAACATCTTCGATTACGCCCTTGAAGTGACTCTGTCTCACCAGAGCGCCTCGCGAGCGACTCATGCCGACAAGATCGATCTCGTGGCCTGCGTCACGAGGCTGCTATCGCCCATCTCTCCTATCTGCTTTGAGCCTGGAGTTCCTCTGCCGGACCATCTTGCGGCTTATCAACCACAGATCTTAGGCGTACAACATTCATCAATCCTGCGTAATGGGGCGGCTCACCATCGCGTTACGGTTGGGTTCGTCACCGGCGAGGCACGTGACGCGGCGCTCACGACGCCCCCCGCTCTCACTTGGCGATCGGCGAAGGCCCGCTTCGCGAAGTCTCACAGGTTCCACCATAACATGGTCGAGCTTCGAATCAACGTCGGTGTTCAAGGAGTGCCCTCCATGGATGCCATCATCAAATCGTTCCAATCACTTGTGCAAGACCTGTCAGCCAAGGGACATTCATGCCAACTTGTGCAGGTTCTGCGCGTTATCAGCGTGGACAACGCCTCGGCCTTCGCCCACGTTGCCGGAGACTACTCGGCTTTCCTACACTTCGATGACGACTCCCTATTCCAACGCCCCAACACGACCTTGAAGGAGATTCTACCTTCGAGGATCGACCTTCCCACTCGAGGCATCCCGGTTACCGCCCTTCGCCATGACTATGAGAAGGAGGCGGCTTGCGGTAGGTGCCACTTTGTGGGTCACGTGGGAACCTGCGGACTGGATCAGGAGAGGAAGCGGAAGGAGGCTCACAACGGCATCATCAACAGCAACAAAAACACCATCACCCACAACACCAACATCGCGGAGGCCGAGGCCCCCATTCCTGTGCTGGTTGTTAACAGGATCGCATCACAGAATCACTTCGCCGGGCTCGAGGTCGAGGAGGGACAGGAGGAAGAGGTAACTGGCCAGGGCGAACAGGGACCGGAGGAATCGGGGGAGGAAGACGCTGGTGATAAGGCGGATGACGAGGACTCGGAGGACTCGGAGATGGAATCGGAGGCGGCCGCGAAAACGGAGGTCATCAAAATTGAAAGCGAGGACGAGTCGGTCTTGGAGGACTGCAGCGGATCCGATGGAGAGGTGATTGATGAGAATGAGGTGATGGCGGATGAAAGAGGTGAAACGGAAGGAGAGGTGGCTACGGAGATGGAGGAAGAGGAGGTGGCGACGGAGGTGGGCGATGTGGACGAAGCGAGGGGATCGACGAAAGCGGAGAATGCGGAAGCGACGGACTTAGGGGAAACGAACAGGCTGGACAATGACGACGACAGCGACGCCACAGCAACCGCCGCCACCGCTTCCCGCGAATCGACGCCGCATGAACCAACCCCACCTCTGTCACCCGAAACTCTCGCCAAGTCGCTACGCGAGGGGGAGGAGTGGGACAGGATCAGAGCTAACTGGGTTGAGCAGGCACGACTTGAGCGGGACCAAAGCATCGAGAGGAGGCTCAACGCTGAAACCCCTCTGGTGCGTCACAACTTTGCCACGTGGGACGAGGACGGTGAGATACGCTCCATCAACATCAGGGGGACCGCTGCGAAGTTCAAGAAGCAGGTGATGAAGAGGTCGCAGACTGCGGCGGACCTCAGTGACCCAAGTGACGAACCGACCGACGCCAAGCGAGTCATCATCAAAGGGAAGAGCCGCGTCGTGGTGAAGGATGGAATAGAGGGGCGGAGGGTGACGAGGTCGATGTCGGCGGCAGCGGCGATGCAGGTCGAGGTGACGAAGGTGGACAGAGGGAAAGGAAGAGGGGTAGCTGAGGAAAAACGATGGTCCGACCACGAGCCCGAGGACGATGTCCTGCCCGCCCTTCCCCTCTTTGAGGACGTCACCACCGCCAAGAGCGCCTCGACCTCGACTACCCATTAATGATCAAGCACACCATCATCACCTGGAACGTAAGAAGGGGCATGGGGGTCCCGGAAAAACGACGTAATATCTACACCTACCTTTCCACATTCAAAGCTTCCGCGATTCTCTTACAAGAGCATTTCATCAGACCACAATTCTGGCAGCTCATCAAGGACGAGTACGAGGGCAAGCTCTTCATCAACCAGCACTGCCTGACCCTGATCCCGGCCGACTCGCCCCTGATCGACGCCGAGCTCTTGCGCACCCACTCGGCACTCGACGGCCGGCTCCTCGTCACCTCCTTTCGTCTGCGGGGCGACATCAAAATTCTAGAAATCAATAACCTCTACGCGCCCGTTGACCCAAAACAACGAGCAAAATTCTTCGACAAACTGATCCTCCACAAAACACAGAAATCCCACCTCCGACTCCTTGGCGGCGATCTCAACGACTGCCCGCGCCCAGAAGTCGATCGGCGGAACCAAAGTCGGCGCGGCCACCACTGGCCGATTCTGATGGGCAAGCTCGACTCGGCCTACACGGACTGCATCCGCTACAAGCACCCCATCACCCCATCTTTCACTCGACCTAATCCCAATCGCAAGCGACCCAACTCCTTCTCCCGGCTTGACTACTTTCTCCTACAAAGAGCTCACCAAAAAAGGCTCGACCAGGCCTCGACGATCTACGACTATCCCAAGGATCTTTCCGATCACCGACCGGTCTTGATCGTACTGGCTCTCTCAGACGATCTTGATGCGGCTCTCCCACAGCTCAGCCTACCTACCACATCCAACCAACTACATCGAATCAATACCACAACCTTCAAGACGGTGGAATTTCAGCGGATGATGAAAGGATGGTTGGAAGGGGCAAGCGGGGAGGATCCGGTGCGAGAGCTTGAGGAGGTTCTGGAGGCGTGCAGGGACAGGGGTGGGGAGATGGCGAGGAGGCTGCATCGGGAGCGGACGGAACGGATGGAGTATTTGGTGGGGAGGGTGCAGGATCTGGAGGCGTTACCGGTATGGGGGGAGGCGGAAACGGCAGAATGGACAAGGACGTCCGAGGAACTCAAGCGGGCGGTCGAGGAGCGCGCGCGCCTACTCCGGATCCGAGCCCACGTCCCCGAGATCGCTTCCGAGGAACGACTGTCGCGGCCGGTCCACGCCAAGCTCGCGGCGCGGAACTCGGACTCCAAGATCACAGCACTGCGCTTGGGCAACGGAGAGCTAACGCATGACATTGATGTCGCTCTTGACCACACGCAGGCGCATTTCCAGCGCCTCTACCACATCGAGCCTCGTGATCCGGAACGCGTCGACCGACTTCGGGACGAACTCCTCGTGCCGATCAGGGCGGCACGGACTTGCGACGACCCGCGCTCAGATCCGCTCTTTCTGCGCCGACTCTCGGAAGCGCAGATTGATCTCCTCCAGCAACCCATCACCGAGGACGAGGTCGTGGCCGCGATCGGGACGACGCACCCGGGGCGATCGCCGGGCCCGTCGGGCGTGCCTTACGAACTCTATCAGACCGCACCGGAGGCGTGGTCCAAGGTGCTGACCAAGGCCTACAACGCGATGATCGAGCGCGGTTCACTCTCTCCCAAGCAGGGCCAGGGACTCGTGCGCCTCATCTTCAAGCGCCACAAGAAGAATGCCGATCGCGCCGAACTCTCGTCGTATCGCCCCATCACCCTGCGCGAGTGCGATTACAAGATTTTTACCAAGGTCTACGTCGCCCGATTGAACCAAATTCTGCCCGATCTCCTCCCGCCGCAGCAGCACGGCTTCGTCAAGGACCGCCGATCGGCCGACGCTGCACTACACCTTCGTCTCCTGATCGAGGAACTTGGCGCGCGCAGGACCGAGTTCCCCGCGGCCGCGCTCTTGTCTCTTGACCAATCATCCGCCTACGACCTCGTCGAGCATGACTGGATCTTTGCCATTTTCGACGCTCTGGGCGTTCCTACCACCTTTCTTCGCGTGCTGAGGATGCTCTACTCGGGTGACTCGACCTCGGCGCGCTACATCATCAATGGGTTCCTGACGGCGCCGGTGCGACTGACGTGTGGGCTCGGCCAAGGGGACCCGGCGTCATCGTCGGTCTGGGACATCGTGTTTCAGCCGTTCCTGGATGCTCTACACCGTCGAAACATCGCGCTGAATCTCTCCATACCTGCACTTCATCCGTACCCACAGAGCCGCGCCATTACATCACTTGCATTTGCCGATGACGTTGTCGTCGCCGTCGCGGGCTTGGAGTCACTCAACTTGCTCGATGACCTGGCGCTCGACTGGAGGCATGCAACGAATGGCCGGCTCAACACGGACAAGACGGTCGTCCTACCGATTGGACGTCGCTGGGACCCTGGGGAACGGCCAATCGTCGTCAAGGCCGCAGGCGAGTCGCTCGAGTGGATCGGCCTCCCCTTCGACCCCAGCGGCGACACCGAACTCGCCTACGCGAATCTCATCGAACGGCTCGAGGCGACGCTGGAAGCGGTTCAGCATCGCTGGCTCACGCACCACACCCGTGCCTTTTACGTCAATCGGTACGCCATTCCCAAGATCCTGCATTTCCTTGCAGCCGACATCCCGCCGCCCGAAGTCGTCAAGAAGCTCGATGACATGCTCGTCGATTTCGTCCGTGGGGGCAAGGGCAGGACCAGCTACGGCAGAGACATTGTGTTCACCGCCAAGAACAAGGGGGGACTCGGGGTGATAAGGATGCGGGACGTTGTGGACGCGGTTGCGGCACGGCTCTGGGACGTTCTTCTCGGCGGTTCCGGCGCGATTTGGCAAGGACTTGCGCGCGCAGCACTCCAGCGAGCTCAGCCCGACCTCGACCTGGCCACCGATCTCTGGCCACATCCATCCACTCCCATCCCCAACGACCTTCATCCCCGATGGCACGCCGCACTGGGCGTTCCGAAACTTCACGACGTGCAGGTCAACCCGAGGGCCTTGACCACCGCGAACCTGCTCGCGCTGCCCACCCTGCTCGGCAGCCTCCACACCCCCATCAGAGGGAGACAGACCATCGACGCGGTTCATGTACCTGACTACCTTCGTCTCCAGGGCTACCCGAAGGTGGCGGATCTCTATCGGCGCGAGTTGTATGCGGGTGGGGGGTTTCACCTCTGGACGCCGCCGGCGGATGTGCTCGGCGACAACAGCGAGTACGATCGACGCGGGCTCCCGCAGCGACTGGCAATCGCGGCCTGGTACCGGTTCACTGTCGATCGACACAAGAACACCCCCTTGGCGGCGGCGGTGGCGGCGGGACGACTCAACGTGCCTCCCCGGATCGGCACCAGCGCACCACTCGAGGCGATCATCCCCAAGCCCGTGGCCCGCTTCGCAATGGAGCAGCGCCTTCCGGACCCGGTGCTTCCACAACAGGCGAGCCAGTATACGCTGCTGAACATGGCTCGCCCCTACACAGTCCGTCGCATCCGCCGGGTCCTGAACGCGAAGGCATTTACCAACATGCTCGGGCTCAAGGGACCACCGCAGCCGGACGACCTCAGGAGCTTCTGGAAGGCAGTCAACTCGAAGGCACTGACAGCGAGGGAGAGGGAAGTTTGGTTCAAGCTGATCCTCCGCTTCACCCCGACGCGCAAGCTCCAGCACGAGCAAAAGCATGTCACTTCTCCCGCGTGCCTCGTGTGCGAAGCGCCGGTGGACGACACCGATCACTACTTCTTCGGCTGCGTCGACTCGCGGAACGTCTGGACCGCGGCAAGGGGCGTGCTCTGCGACGCGCTCGGATGCGACACGATCGAGGACGCCGAGTACACGACACTACAACGACTCTTTGGCCTCCCCAAGCTCAAGGCCAAGCTCAGCGAACAGGAAGGCGCAGGCAGGACGATCGAGATCTTCACGGGGATGGTCTTGGAGATGATCAGCAGTGGGAGATGGAGGATGCAGAAGCACGGGACGAGGATGGAAAGCCTGGAGCGGAGGAGGGTGGTACTGGAGGAGAGGATGAAGTTGAGGGCGGGGGGAGCAAGGGCGGGCGAGGGCAGTAGAGGCTGGGTTCGATTTCCCCCCACCCCATCCCACACTCACACACCCCACATCACACATCCTCTTACAAAAACTGTATACTAAATATATTTTCTTCATCTTTCTTTCTTTTATTACAGGTCTGCCTCCGTTGCTCATGGACCGGCTCGCGATTTGGGATTGACTCGACGGTGGCTCGCGCTCTTTGGCTTCGGGGTTCTGAGTCAAGGGAGGGATCAGCAGACACAGGCAGAAAGTCGGCTTTGAGGGGCCAGGGACTGCTGAGGTGGAGGTTTTGAGGGGCCTCCACCGCGTCTTGTTGTGACCGAGCATAGACTTGGGGACTTCGCGGGTCAGGGTAGCTGCGCAGTCGCTCTCCTGTCTTTGTCTCGACCGAGTTGGGAAGTGGGTGCGGGGTGGGCCTCTTGTCGTTAGTACGCCAGTTCTTTTTCATTTTCTCTCTTTCTCTTCTCTCTCTCATTCGTCTCCTGGGGGGGAGCAACCGCTTGGCTGGGGCACTTGAATCCGAAGTATCGGATTGGTGGACTTGGCCCGTTTCTCGCATCTTGCGGGCGGTTTGTGTTATCATCGTCGACTTCCATCTAGTTTTTCCGTAGGCCAATCAGGGGGAACAGGAATTGGGGGCAATATGATGAACGGTTTCTACAAAAAAAAAAAATCAGCCACTTCTCCTTTTATTCCTAAGCCGTGTGTTGGATTCCGTCGAATAGATCGTTCGTTCGCGTTGGTCAAGATCTACGGCATGGATCGGGAAGAAAGGTCGCTCGTTTTTTGGTCAATATCCTCGCGTCAAGGCGAGGCTTGTTTCGTTGTATTGGATCGTTTTCGCTCGGCCCGACGGCTCAACAGCCAGCACTCGAGACTCAGCCAAGGAGGACATCAGGCGCTGTCGGGGTGACGAGTAGCTGGGGCTTGGCTGCGGCCTGTCAGTCCCTGGGACCTCTAGCTCTGGCTTCGACCCCCTCCCTTGGCCCTCGGGTGTGTTCCCCTCCTCCTCCCTCCTCTCTGTCTTAGTATTCCTGGTTCTCCGTGTTTCCAGTCGTGAATGTTTGTATATTCTCCCCTTTTCTTTCTCTAGGCGCTCTTGCCTGGTTTCGAGTATCTTCGCTCCCGCTCTTGGACGTGAAGCGGCAGCAGTACTCACCGCCCGTTGGAGTCCGCGTTAGGTGCTCGGCGGTTTTGATCTGCGCAGCGCTCTTTGCGCGCAGGGGTTGACTTTCACCAATTGCTTGCCGTCGTTGCTTTATAACCTCTTTTAGCTCTTTTTCTAGCGGTCCCAGCCACCCGAAGGATTGCAATTTATGAGCCCAGTAAAAATAAAAAATAAAACACACACACACAACACACACACACACACAACACACACACACACACACACACACACACACACACACACACACAAGTGAGTTTCTGTGGTGTAGAGTGAGTAGTTGACCTCCAAGCGAGTGATTCATCACTCAACACGCAAACGCGTGAAGCGGTCACTGGAGGAACCGCGAATCCTCCAGCTTGGTCGCCCGAGGCAACTCAGGTCCGGTTGGACCATGAGAAGCTGATGAAGAAGACCTTCCAAGTGCTCGGGATTGTTCCCTCCAGCAAGTCGACCCGCCGACTGATGGTCCTGATGCACGACGCCTCGACCCCGCCTTCGCAGGCGCCAGCGCTCGCACGAGCCGCCCAAAGAGCGGTGCGAAACGACGCAGCCCCGGCCTCCAATGTGATTCGAGTCATTATGGATGGTCCTGGATCACCCAGAGGTCCTGTACAGACCGCGCTGCGCAAGCACTTTGGATTGGCCGAGACGCCGTTCATGTTCGCGCGGCCCGAGGGCGTCGTGCTTGACCCCGAGGTCGAGAAGCTTTTCTCGAAATGCGTGAAGCTGAACCCGATTGTGACGAAAGCCACGAAGAGGTTCCCGATCGCTCGTCACATGTACGAGCTTGTATTCGAATCCGAGCAAGCTTGTCTTGAAGCCGCTTCAGCGGGCCCATTCCCCTACCACGGCAAGGAGATGGTTACCGAGCTCCCCAGCGCCTCTCCCCTTAACCACGTCGTGCAGGTGCGATTCACCTTGCCCTCCTCCTCCAGCGCGATCCCCGCTTCCGTGCTCCGAAAATCTCTCGATGATGCTATCACCCTTTCGTTCGGCCGCGCAGGTCGCACGCAAGGTTATACCCTGATGCAATTACAGCGGGGCCTCGCGGTCGATCCGAATGGCGATCCGATGGCCATGACCGAAGACGGGTTCCACTGCGCGTACCTTCGCTTACATGCTGATCTTTTCCAAGGCTCCATCGAGACGCAGAAGGGTGCGCTCAACGCCGCTTTGCCACAAGAGATCGAGATCCTGGGCGCCAAGTACGGCTTGCGACACGAATTCGAGACGCACTACTGCGCGGTGTGCGATCGCGCCGGACACCAGTGGGGCGCTTGCAGGAAGCCGGTTTCGACTCCGGCCACCGCCGCCCCTGTTCCGGGGGCCTCGACCTCGACTTCGACTTCGACCACCGGCTTCCGAGTTGCTGGAAAGAATGGGAAGCACGGTGGGCCTGCCGCATTGAACTCTCGTGTCTCTGGCGCGAACATGATCCAGCTGGGACCTCGTGCTAACCCCGCAGGTGCAGTAACCGCCAACAAGGACGACGCGAACGACGGCGACGACGAGTCGATCGTTTCGACCGAACCGGAGGGCGGCGACACTGGGGAAGAGACGTCGACGCGTGCGACCCTGGGCTCAACAAAGGAGACGCAGACGACGACGGCGGCGCCCGTTTCGACCCCGACCTCTCCTTCGCCTTTGTCCGGTGGCACGTCGGGATCATCGGCAACCTCGACAACCTCGATAGCCTCGACGAGTCCTCGACGCCTTCGTTCGAGCTCGGCACCCGGCAACCGACGTGTCACCCGGGCAGGATCCGCCATGATCCTCGGTGCATCAGGGGGTGATGGCTCAGGGGGCAACAGTTCAGGGGGTCACAGGTCCGAGGTGACCGAATTCGAGGGGGGCGGCGCTGAACTGATTTAATCATGATTGAGTCACTCACCGTGTTGACGTTCAACGTCCGATCGATGAAGAACGCAGTCAACCAAGTCAAAATCATCCGTTATCTCAAAACCCTTCGGCCGGCCCCTGCGGCCATCCTCCTGCAAGAGCACCACCTCAGCTACAACGCGTCGCGCGAAGGCTTCGAGAGTGCTTGGCCGGGGGCTTGTATTCGTTTCACTCCTCATGTCCTTACCCTCATACCCGATGGCTCACCTTTGGCGGGCCATCTCCTTTCCTCTACCCCGGTCGTCTTTGCAGGAGCTCCTCGTTTCGACGGTCGGATTCTGCGCTCGGTGTTTCGTCTTGAGGAGCTCGATGTCGAGATCATCAACATGTACGCGCCGGTGCAGGAGGACGATCGTCGCGACTTTTTCGGGCTTCTGCACTTCAACGCCCCGAGACCCAAGACTCTTCGGATCTTGGCCGGCGATCTCAACGATTGTCCGGATGTATCGGTCGACCGAGTGTCCATCACCGATCGCGCTTGGACTCCTGTATCGCACTGGCAGACCTTGCTGTCAAAGATCGCGTTCAAGGCACTCGACACGGTCCGACATGTCCATTCTTGCACCCCTGCATTCACTCGTCCTCACTACCGTGGTAGAGGGGAAGAGCGAAAGATTTGCTCGTGGTCGCGGATCGACTATATTCTTGTCCAATGCAGTTGGGCGAACCGGTTGTTGAGCGCTTCTACGCTCTTCGATGCGCCCTGTTCGGACCACAGACCTGTAGTTGCGACTTTCGCTTTGCCTACATCGAACGCTGATGCCGAACCCCCCCTTTCTCTTCCCTCCACGAGCGATTTCATTTCGAGGCTCAACCCAATGGTCTTTGACGATCAAGACTTTGTCGCATCGATTCCCGGGGTCGTCGACGAGGTCTATCGAAGGCTCGAGGGGACCGCTCCGCTCGGCGACGTCTATGACGCCGCTCTGCGGGCGGTTGCAGTCGCTGGCCATGCACGATACCGCTCGACTCGTGCCGACATGCGCCGACTGCGGGCCGAGAGCCAATCCGTCATGGAGGCTTTGGAGGCACGCGGTGAGCACATGAATGAGGCCGAGCGCGATGCGTATGCTCTTGCCAAGTCGCGGTTGGACCAGTTGGCGGTAAAGGAGGCTCAGTGGCTGCGCATTCGTGCGCATGTGCCGTCAGTCGACTCGAGGGAAGGTCAATCGGCAAGCATTCGCACGCGCCTCAACCGCCGGAGTCGCCAGACGAGCATCGTCTCGCTGGAGGATGTGGATGGCACCGAGACCGTTGACATGCAGGAGGCGCTGGGTATTGCTTCACGGCACGCGCAGTCGCTCTTCACGCCGGACCCAGCTCGTGGCGACCCGACGAACGCACGCCGGTCCCTGCTCGACCCTATTCGCGCAGCGAAATGCTACGATGACGACCGCTCGGACCCTACGTTCGGTCGTCGGCTGCCTCGTCAAGCGAGAGTGGCGCTTGACGAGCCCTTCACCCTCCTCGAGGTTGAAGCGGCGTTGAAGAAGACGGATTCGGGGCGATCACCGGGGCCCTCGGGCATTCCGTACGAGCTCTTCAAGGCGCTGCCAACCTACTTTGCTCCCAAGCTGTTGGACTTGTTCAACTCGATTTGGGAGGGCGGCAAAATGACGGCGTCCTTGGCAGAGGGACTGGTGCGGCTCTTGCCCAAGAATAAACCGGGGGCCAATCTGAAATCACTGGGGGCATACCGACCGATCACATTGCGCGAGACGACCTACAAGGTCCTCAGCAAGGTCTTGGTGGCGCGACTCAATGGGGTGCTCGGCGAGCTTTTACCGCCGGCGCAACACGGTTTCATGCCATCAAGACGTTCAGCGGACGCGGGAAGTCATCTCACTCTCCTTCTCGAAAAACTCAAGTCGCTAGGCACTGATGTTTTCCCCGAGGGCGCCCTCTTGTCTTTGGATCAGCAGAGCGCGTACGATCGGGTCGATCACGCCTGGATCTTCGAGGTCTTTGAGGCCTTTGGGTTCGGTGAGCGTTTCATCTCGCTGCTGCGCGCTCTCTACGATCCCGAGACTCTGGGGGTGCGCTACCTTGTCAATGGGTTCCCCACGGACTTGGTGCGGTTGCTGTGTGGTCTCGGTCAGGGGGATCCCCTCTCGTGCCCGGTTTGGAACATCACGTTCCAGCCCTTCCTCGACGCCCTCGTTCGGCGCGGGATCGCGCTCGACCTGCAGAAGGTGTGGCCAGGGGGGCCGCGTGCGCAGCTTACGCATCTGGCGTTTGCCGACGATGCTGTGGTGGTGGTGGAGTCACCGGCGGCATTGTCGAAGCTGCAAACGCTGTCGCAGACGTGGTACGAGGCTACCAACGGGAAGACCAACACGGACAAGACGCTGGTGCTACCACTCGGACCGAACTGGCTTCGGGACGAGACTGCGCAGGCGCTGCCAACGGTGCAGGAGGGGGAGAGCTTCAAGTGGTGCGGCTATGCCTTCTTTCGCCACGGTGACTCGAAACTGTTTTGGACCCATGTTCTTGACAGGATCAAGGCCAAGACCCGCGCCGCTCGAGACCGGACACTTTCGCCGAGTGGGAAGGTTTTCTATGCCAACGCTCACATCATCTCGACGGTCCTCCACGTGCTGTCCTTCGACATACCGCCTCAATGGTTCATTAAGGCGGCGGAGACGGCACTTACGGACTTTGTCTGGGGAGGAGCAGGGCGAAATACCGTCGCTCGCGATTTCGTGTTCCAGGCTCGGGAGGACGGTGGCTTGGGTTTGATTTCGATTGGCGACATCGTTCATTCGGTGGCGCTTCGATTTTGGGATGCTGTGGCGGGCTCGGACGAGGCGATCTGGGCGCCCCTAGCTCGCGAGAGCTGGAGGTGCCTCGTCGCTGCGACCCGCGATTTCAGTCCGTGGGGGTTCTTCAGCAGCACGGCTCGGGTCGAGAAGCTGTATCGCGACTCGACGCGCTGGGGGGCAGTCGTTGCAGCGGCCAGGGTCACAGTTCCAACCATCAAGTCCGAACTCCTTACGCTTCCCGAATTGCTCTCGCTTCCGCCTCGCCTCCCTTCACTCTATGCTGAAGGTGCCCAGCACGCATATGACGATGCGGACGCGGTGGCGAAGTTTGCGCAGATCGCGGACCTGTACTGGAGGGACGAAGGGAAGGGATGGGCTCTGGTTGGTCATCGACGCGGGTTCTGGCAGCACTCTAAGGAACCCGCCCTACAGCACGAGCACGTGTGGTCGCGCGTGGGTCAGTTGCTCAAGGCGAAAGCGTTGCTGCCCAAGACCGCGTTGCGACCTGCTCGGATACCTCTCAAGGAGGCTCCCCGTCCTCGGTGCTTCAACTTCTTTGGGCTCTCCCGACCTTTTACGATTCGCAAGCTTCGTCGGCTTGTGAACAAGGTGCGGTTCCCAGGGAGGGAGGACCGTGTCAAGCGTTTCCCTGATGGGACTTCTCAGAGCGATAGGAAGCGCTTCTGGAGATGGCTTCATGACCGGTTCGCGTCTGCTGTCGAGCAGGACACCCACTGGCGGTTCATGTACGACGTGACGCCGACGCGCAAGAGGCAGTATACTCAGGGTCATGCCTCTTCGCCGACGTGTCTGTTCTGCGGCAACGATGCAGCGGTCATCGAGACGGTGTCCCACTACTTTTTCGAGTGCGCGTACTCGACCAGCTTCTGGGGTGGGGTGCTACGCATTCTGCTTGACAAGCTCGGCATCGAGGATACCGACGTCGATCCGTCGACGTTCACTCCGGAGCAGCTGACTATGGGGCTCCCCCTTTTGCGGGGTCGTGGGAGAACGACCTCGAAATGGATGTGGGTTCGGCTGGCCTGCGCGATCGGCTTCCAGCGGCTGCACCTGCTCCGCTGGCGCGTTCATCAGCGGTTCGAGCTGGACAACGTCGTGGCCCCTCCCTCGCTTCCCAGTGCGCTCAGAGCGTTCGAGCGAGATTTTCTCTCTCGAGCGGGTTTTGTGCCTGGGGTTCGAGATTGGGAGGTGTGATGACCGAGTTAAGTCCTTCCTTCCCATTTTTCTCCCCTCCTTTCCTCCCTTCCTTTTCGGTCAGAAGCTGACTGTCTTGAAACTTGTTGCGCAGTGGAAGGCTGCGCACCTCTCCCTCTCTCTACTTTGCGCAGTAGCGATTTTCGTTCTTGGATGGATCGGCAAGCCGGGTCGATCGTCGTTGCGTTGGAGGCTTTGTGAAGTTCTCCCCTCTCTTTCCCCTTTCTCCCTTCCCTTCCTCTTCTCGTTCCTGTTGCTCGGTTGTTGACTACGCTTCAGCCACTTCTCCTTTTATTCCTAAGTCGTGTGTTGGATTCCGTCGAATGGATCGTTCGTTCGCGTTGGTCAAGATCTACGGCATGGATCGGGAAGAAAGGTCGCTCGTTTTTTTGGTCAATATCCTCGCGTCAAGGCGAGGCTCGTTTCGTTGTATTGGATCGTTTTCGCTCGGCCCCGACGGCTCAACAGCCAGCACTCGAGACTCAGCCAAGGGAGGACATCAGGCGCTGTCGGGGTGACGAGTAGCTGGGGCTTGGCTGCGGCCTGTCAGTCCCTGGGGACCTCTAGCTCTGGCTTCGACCCCCTCCCTTGGCCCCTCGGGTGTGTTCCCCTCCTCCTCCCCTCCTCTCTGTCTTAGTATTCCTGGTTCTCCGTGTTTCCAGTCGTGAATGTTTGTATATTCTCCCCTTTTCTTTCTCTAGGCGCTCTTGCCTGGTTTTCGAGTATCTTCGCTCCCGCTCTTGGGACGTGAAGCGGCAGCAGTACTCACCGCCCGTTGGAGTCCGCGTTAGGTGCTCGGCGAGTTTTGATCTGCGTAGCGCTCTTTGCGCGCAGGGGTTTGACTTTCACCCAATTGCTTGCCGTCGTTGCTTTATAACCTCTTTTAGCTCTTTTCTAGCGGTCCCAGCCAACCCGAAGGATTGCAATTTATGAGCCCCAGTAAAAAAATTTAAAAAAAGTGTTATCATCGTCGACTTCCATCTAGTTTTTCTGTAGGCCAAATAGGGGGAACATGAACTGGGGGCAATATGATGAACAGGTTCTACAAAAAAAAAAAAAAAAAAAAAAAAAAAGGAGTTCCAGGTGCTCGGCGGGTTTCGATCTGCGCGGCGCTCAAGTTGCGCGCAATGGCTTAACTTTCTATCCGTTTATCGTCATTGCTTAGAAAATAATCTTGGCTATTCTTGTAGCGGTCCCAACCAACCCGAAGGTATGCGACCCAACTCTAGAATGTTTCTTGAGCGTGGATGTCGGATTAGATCACGTGACAAGCACCTCGAGGCGGCACCGGCGGGGCCCCACTCTTGTAGTCGACCCACCATCCTCCAACAACTTCAATCGTCCTTCAACAGGGCGGAATTATGAGCACCTTCCTTCTATGATGGGGGGATTGAACCCAACAAAGGGACCTCTGAAAAGTCTCGCTGCGGAGCGACTGATCGGAAGGCCGAGGCCCGCTTCCCTAGCTCCCTTTGTACTTTCACCCCCACGTGCGCATTCGGCGCGAATTGTTTGTGTGTTCGGAGACCCCTTCCTCCATGGAAGGCAAAGCTGACGCGGCACCGTGCTCAAGGTGGGTTCAGGGTTGGATTAGGAGGTATATGTAAGGCGCGCGCCTTACTACGGGCCACAGGCATTAGAAATAGAGATCGCGCGCACCTAGCTTCTTCAGTTCCCTCCTCATCGGGCTGACACCAGAAGCTAGGTGAGTACTGGTGTTCCATCTCTCAGCACTCTCGTAGCTCATCGGTCTGACACCAGAAGCTAGTTGCAATCCATATAACTTGCACCTGTCAGCTTAGGTCGCCAGTGAGGCTCGAGAGCGATCTCGTGCCTTTCAGTATAACGGCATCAACGATCGAGCAAGTTTTATTATACATTCCCCGGATAGTGGAGGTGCTTACATGTGGTATTGCTCAGGGAAGCATCAGATTGCAAGGCTGAAGATTACCTCCACAAAGGTCGTTCTGCGCCATCCACCATTTCTTCATTCGGGAAGTGCCTACGATCGAGAACCGTTGGGTGCGGCTGGCCTGACGCGATACCCCGGGTCCCAGCCTTGCGCGGACACATCTCGGTGTTTAAATGGTGCCTATGACATCTGACCAAGCGCAAATTATCCGGATATATCTCTGAGAATCAATACCTTCGCGGAGTGGCCAACAGGAGCCTGGAAACTCAGCGGTAGCCCGCAATGGCTTCGATGACGTCGTGCCCGTCGGCGTCGGCCTCCGAGTCCGAGCTCCGAGCCAGCCGCTGATTGCATAGCAAATCTGGGACTTCGTTTCATTTGAATATAAAGTGTGCTTGGCTTGCGGATAACTATATGTTCAATAGACAATGTTGCCGGTCGCGGCCTGCATCTTTGACAGCTCCGCAGTCTCGGAATATGATCGTCTTTTTGATGCCGGACTGCTGTGAACACCTGTGGTTGACGATTGTATGAAATCTAACTATTTTGTTCTCATTGATGGACACGACTGGAACGTCGGGGCCGTCTAGATCCGTTCATGTGACCCAAGGGGCGTGTGACGACTGTCTCGGCTGAGTGTATGCGGTCCACTGCCAGGTGAGGACCATGATCATGAGGGGAAATTCGGTGGAGTCCAAATCTGAAAGGAGCACACTCTTGAGGCTTCAAGAGGAGGAGGAGGAGTTGATATTCCACCATCGTTGTTATAAGGAGTCGCGAATGAAGAACATGAAATAGCCCTGCCCTGAACCCTCCGATCCTCTGGTTCCGTCCGGCCAGAGCGGAGAAGCGTGAGATCCCGGCCAATCCCGACCGATACAAACGGCCATGGGCGACCGCGTGCTGGGCGGGCAGTGGCGGGGCTGGGCGGCGGAGCTCAAAAGAGCCCACTCGGCCGACTTTGTCCTCCCTCACGTCTCGATCTAGGCTGCTGTATATGGAATCGCCGTATTCGTTCAGTGTCGCCCACAATTTCAGCCCACAATTTCAGCCCACAATTTCAGCCCAACGAACCACTTTGACTCTGCATTCTAGCTGTTCCATCTTGAAGTTAGACTTGAACTCGTCAAAGGTGCAACCCGACGACACGGGCTTCATGAACATTCAAGGCGCGCTGGTCGTCGTACTAGTCGTGCCCACCACCCCGCCGCGTGACGCTCGCTCTCTCCTCCGCGACGGGCGACCATTCGACCGCGACGATGATGAAGGAACCGACGCCGACGTCGACGGCTCCTCTATCTTGTACCTCGTCTTTCATCAAGCAGTACCCCGAACTGGACCCTCAAAACCACCTGCGCGTCTTGGACCAGCACCTGCGCGAGAGCGGCGGCTCGTGTAGCCTCACTCAGGCGCTGCACGACCACTTTAACTCGACCACCAATGGCCACAGCCACGGCTACGGCCACGGCACCGGCAATGGTCTCAATGGGCGCTCGAGTAGGATCGCCACGCCCTTGATGACCCCTCCTCTCTCACCTGCTGGATCATTTGGCGCTCTCTGTGAGTTCGAGTTGGCTCGCTCGCGATTCTCCCACCCCGACGCCGAGCGACTGCCGACTGATTCCGAGCTGAACCTCTCTTTGCCTTGCTTGTGCAGACCCCGAACCTCCCCACCTCTCTCGACCGAGTTCACCTCATCGCTCTTCGTTCGTTTCTCTGCCTCCTGCGCTGTCCAAGACGAACTCGATCGAGGATGAACACGGTCACCATGCGTTGCCGACAACCCAGTTGATGGGCAAGCTGTCAATTGTCGTCGTCGAGGCCAAGAACCTGCGAGTCGAGTCGGGCAAGGAGAAGCCCTACGTCTTGTGCAGGTGATATACATATACTTGGTCCTATACTCTAATTCGTGCTCATCATGTTCCACGTTTGGCACGCGCTGCACCTGCCTCCTTTAGTACGACCGAACGGACTCGGTCGGCCGAGAATACGGAGCCCCACCACCGAACGCGAAGCCGCTGCTCGGCGTCCCGAAGCGTGGTGGGGCATCAACCGCCTCAACGGACATCCTCAGGGCCTTGATGGCAAGGGTCTTAACAGTGTACGACGCGTCGGGAGCACAGCAACGGCTCTGACCCGTACGAACCCAACTTCCCCCCTCGGCGCCGGCCTCCGAAGTTGAATCGCCGCAGTACGACCGAGATGTCGACTTCGACCAGGATCGTTGATGACTCGCCCCCGTCGGTGACCCCAAGGACATTGGCACGCCCACCGATCCGATCTGGAACCACAACGCCTCCTTCGATGTCATTGCTCCGGGCCGAACGATCCTTATCTGCGTCTACGACAAGCTCGCACCTCAGGGCGGGTTCCCGGCCCACGGCTTCTTGGGTGCCTCGGTCTTTGAAGCGCCATTGAGTGCCGAGACGGGTGAAGATGGCCTAGGTCTGGATATTTGGGTTCCGTGAGTCAATATATCGGAGTAACGTGTTCTGTCCGCTGAGTGCTTATGAGCCTAGCACCTTTACTCGACAGGCTCACGAGTGCGCTCGATCCCAATGTGGGTGGAGAAGTTCGCCTGAGGATCCTGTTCGAGAACCTTCACGTGAGTTTCTACGCTATCGCAGACTTTGCTGTCTGTGCTCTGCATACTGACAAACTCTTTTGTGTTCTTGCTCGCAGCTGAGGCCCAAGTTGACGGTCGACGACTTCCAAGTCTTGCGAAGGATCGGTCAAGGCAGCTTCGGTCAGGTGTTCCGAGTGCGCAAGAGGGACACCAAGCGTATCTGTAAGCCTCTTTATAATTACTGGTTGTGGTAAGTTCAGGTATACCGATGCTGAACGTGCCGAACCCACCACCGATGCGATGAAGGTCATCTGAAGAAAACGTCGTTTCGCGTGAGGCGTTGGCCCAATCCTTGCCGAACGTCAAGTCCTGGCGCGAACCCTGGAATCGCCCTTCCTGGTCGGTCTCAAGTTCTCGTTCCAATCTACTACGGACCTCTTCTTCGTCATCGATTACAAGTCAGGTGGTGAGCTCTTTCAGCACCTCCAAAAAGATGGTGGCAGGTTCGAGAGAGCAAAACCAGGTTTTATGTAGCCGAGATCGTTTTGGGACTCGCGTGAGTGGAGCTGCGGCGATCGTTCGCTGAAAGGCCTTGCTTCTGACTTGGCAAAGTTTCTGAACCGTGTCTTGCTTCAACAGGTATCTGCACAGCCAGAACATCGTCTATCGGGATCTCAAGCCCGAGAACTGCCTCCTCGACGGCTCCGGCCACGTCATCTTTGTGCGACTTTGGATTATCCAAGCTGCTCGACTCACCCGAGGCCACGACTCGCACACTGTGCGGAACGACGGCTTTTACTGCTCCAGAGGTCCTGCTCGACATCGAGTACAGCTTCTCGTGCGATTTTTTGGTCCTCGGGTGCCTCGCGTATGAGATGTGCTATGGCTTCTCCCCCTTCTACGCTGAGAACCAAATCGAAGAGTACG